TCTCACCTTTCGTTCACGGCCCATCATGTATTCGTATAATATATTTCGAAGATACTGCGGAAGTGAAAACATAAAATGAACAAGAAAGTTTGTTACACCAACATTATGCTCAAAGAAGAAAAAGAGAGAGAGCGAAAAAAAGCCTCGTGCGCCAACCTCGAACTCCGTGGGTTCCACGGGCGACTGCGGAGGGCCTGGATCTAACATAACAGGGCTATCCAACAGAGGATTGGACACCAGGTTCAGTTGCGCGGGACGATTTCTGCCTTGTAGTGGAGATCCACTGAGTTGTTCAATCTGTGACAGTAAATATAATAATCACTCTTTTTATTGTTAAATCGAAAAAAAAACCAACAACAACCAATAAGGTGTCTGTCCACGATCGTTGTATTACTGCACAAACATTACTATGTAACAAACGCTCCAGGACTGACCTGTGATTTCAGAGATTCCTCTCTCTCCTTCAAGCCACTGACTTCTGTTCTCAACCGCGTAATTTGTTCCTAAAAAGACCGAGATAAGAGTCTACTTCGTGCAAAAATCTGAAGCAATCCAATCTCTCAATACAACTTTAGATCATGGATAGCAACCTTCAAATAATTATTACAGCTGAGGAAACACAGCGCTCACTACTTTTGAGAATCGAGCGAAATGAGTGGGAAGATCTCCATAATAATACCGCAGCTATATTTTTCAACTATCAAGCTCACATGTCTGATAAATTGCGTACAAAACATCAAACAAACCTTCAGCGCTGTTTGACTTGGATCCTCCGCAATAGGTTCCTAGAGGAAACAGAAACATCAGTGAGAGAAAAAGTGCGTTTCCTGATTTCATTTAGGAAATAGTAAGAATGAGTAAATCGGAGGAGAAAAAAGCTGACAATCGCATTTATGCCAAATCTGTTTGGGCCATTGCTAAGATACGTAAAGCAACTGTATTAAAGCGACTGTAAGTGCGATGCTTTTATAACGTTTGTGTCTTGCTTGTTCTTAAGCGAATGTTGAACATAAAGTGGATAATGAGATGTCACAAAAGCTTCACAAACAAATATCGATGATGGATGTGAGATGGGGGGTGGCCTTTGATAAAATATGTCAAGTTATGTCACGTACATAAAATAACACACAGTAGCGTCACTTGGGTATCGTAGCTAAGGGGCGTAGTAAAGCAGTGGAAGATGGAGAGAGGTGAACAAATGAAAAGACATTCAGTAAGTTAGAGTTAGGCGGTAAATATTATTAAAAATGGACAAGTGTTGTTAATAATATATGCCTCATAGCTGTGATTAATATGACAAAAGAAAATGATCAAATATGAATAAAAAAAACAACTATGAACAACATAAATGATCCCACAAATATGACACTCCTTAGGACTAAAGAAACAGTGGAAATTGTAAATGCAGTCATGTTGAATGGTGACTTGTCAAAAAAATACAGTGCAACGTCAGAAAAGTATTGTTGTTGTTGTTGTTGTTGTTGTTGTTGATGTTGTTGTTGTTGTTGATGTTGTTGTTGTTGGTAGTAAACAGAAGTACTTGTTGCTCAAAAACTTAATAGTGAATATCAGAGGCTCCCGGTCTCTTCCTGTGATCTCTTCGTGCATTCCCCTGACTTACACTATTGAGGGACGAAGATGACCCTGCTCTCTGTAGCTGTCCGGGTTCAGCATCGGTCAAACTCACACTCTGTGCTTGAATAAATGACTCTTTTTGATTTAATAACTTCTTCATTTCGTTCTGGTTTTTTTTCATTTGCGTCTTGAACTTCTTCTCGACGGCGGCCACTTCAGATTTGCGATCCCTGGCGTGCGTTTCCAGCTCGTTCTTATGGCGATTGTGTAACTCTTCAAGTTTGCCTCGATTCTCCTCGTGAAGCTTTTCCATGTCGGCTTCATTCTTTCGAACCATCTCTTGTATCGTTTCATGATGTTCCCTCTCGACGTTTTGCAACGCTTCGGAATGAGTTCTGTTTAGTTCTGTAATTTCACTGTCTTTTTGCGCCAGCTGCTCCTCCACGGTTGTTTTCAAAGCTAACATTTCCTCCTCTCGCAGTTTAAGTTCTCGCTGATATTCTATGATTTCAGTTTTATACTCATCGATTAACTTCTGTTCCTCTCTCTGTCCTTTCTCTATCACTTGCCCCAACATTTCTTGTTGCTCTCTTTCTTTCTCGCTATATTTAATCTGAAACTCTCTCAAAAGTTGTTTGATTTTCGAATTATAGTCCAACTCTTTTTCGCTCAATTTAGCTTTGCATTTCTTCTCGCACTTTTCCAACTCACTGGCATGTTCTTGCCGCAGATTCTCCATCTCCAATTCATGTTCTTCCTTCAGTACCGATTCCTGCTCCTGAAGAGCATCCATTTTCTCAACAAGAAGATTCTCAATGTTTTCTGACAGCTCTTTGTTAGAGGCATCTAGTTTGTCAAGTCTTCCTTGCAACTCTTTTTCGCGACTTTCACCTTCAGTTTCTTTTGCCTGGCGTAATTCCTGGAGTTTCGATTCTAACTCTTCCTGATGAAGTTTCTTTAAGCCCTCCATCTCCTCCTGATGCTTCAACTCGAGATCCTTGATTTTGCTTTCTGATGAGTGCAGCGACTCCATCACATTGGAGATGGCAGTCTCTTTTTCTACAGCTTGTGCACTGAGCTGTTTCCTCAAGCCGGCAATTTTGCTCTCTGCTTTCTTCTTCATTTCAGTCAACTTGTTTCTATACTGTTCAGTCAGTTCCTCCGCTTGCTGTGCCAACTGCTGTTCCTTGGCGTCTTCGATTTCCTTGAGCTTTTCGTGTTGTTCTTTCTCTTGCGCTTTCAGTTTGGATTCAAAATTGTGCGTCTTCTTCCCCATTTCAGCCTCAAGTGTCTGCACTCGATGCCGCCACTCGGCTTCCTTTGTCGCAACAGCATCTTGAGCCTCCTGCTTTTCGCGACTCAGTTCTGCCAACTTCTCGTCGATAGCCTTATTGTTACTTTCTCCGGTCACAATCTTTAGTTGCAGCTCTTCCTGGCGTTTTTCATTCTCTCTTAGTTTGTTTTCGTAGCTTTCCTCCTTTTTGGCCATTTCTCTTTTCAAAGAGGACACCGTCTCGTGCAGAGTTTTGACCTCCTGATCAGTTTTCTCTTGACTTTCCCGCACTTCGTTTAACTCTTGCTCATGTTTTGCATTCATACTTTTGATTTTTTCCTTTGCTTTTTTGATCTTGAACTGCAGCTCCGATGCAGTGTTCTGTGCTTCGCTCAACTGGTTCTTTGCCCTTTCCTCCGATTCAAGACGTTCCTCTTTGTTTTTATTTGTTAATTCCTCCATCGCTTTTGTATGCTCTTCAGTCAAAGTCTTCTTATCTTCTTCCTGTTGCTTCAGCAGGTTTTGTATCTGAGTTGAGTAACGCTGGTTGATCTCATCGCATTTCCCTTTCCATTTTGTATTCAACAACTGAACTTCTTGTTCTCTTTCCTTTTTCGTTTGATCCAGTTTCTTCTGCAAATTCGTAGTCGTCGCCTCCGAAGTTTGCTTCACTTCTGTTTCAACTTTCTCTAACTCGGCCTTCATTCGTTTTCCTTGTTCTAACAACTTAGCTTTACCCTCTTGAAGTTCTTTTTCTTTTTTAGCACGCTCCTTCTTCAAGTTGTTCAATTCCTCGTTTAATTTACTCTCTACATCACTATGTTTTGTCTTTGCTTCGTTGGCTGTCTGCTTCAAAGCCTCGATTTCTTTCTTGTGACTTTCCCTTACTTGTTCAATTTCTTTTTTAAGTTTATCCTCCAATACAGACTTGGCTTCATATTCCTCCGATAACCTGCGTATCTCCTCTGCCTGTTGTTTGTAAGTTCTCTTTAAGGTATCAATTTCTTCGATCAGCTTTTTCTCCTCGTGATCAAACGCTGTCTTTATTTGCTCTGCGGACAATCTTAGTTCGTCCATTTTAATCGTATTCACTGTTTCAGTTTCGCCCAACTTTTTTTCCAGCACTTGAATTTGCTCTTTCAACTTTCGCTCCTCAATTTCAAAGACCGCTTTATTCTCTTCAGCAGCTTTACTCAGTGCATCGATTTGCTCTCTTAGCTTGGTTTCCTCGAAGCCGAATTTCTTTTCATTCTCTTCAGCATACTTGCGCAGCTCTTCCATTTTGCTACAATGCTGGGTCTCTGCATCGGATATCTTAACCTTAAGAAGCTCGAACTGCTCTCTCAAGTTTGCTTCCTCGGTAGCAAACTTCTGCGCTCTTTGTTCTCCCGATCGTGTTAACTCCTCCACTTGTTTCGATTTCTCAATCTCGACTTCTTCTATCCTGGATTTTAATCTTTCCACTTCCTCGAGGTGTGCCCGTTCTCGATCAGCGAATTTATTCTTATCTTCCTCGCCGGTTTTCAGCAGTCCCTCCATCGTCTTGGAATGTCCTTTCCGAAGTTCGTTCAGTTCAATTTCGTGGTATTTTTTAAGTTTCTCCATTTCAACGTTCTGCTTCTCGTAAATCTGCTTGATTTGCGCCAGGTCCTGTTGGTAAGTGTTGGTGACTTCCTGCAGCTTCGCTTGATAACTATCCCGCATCTCCGCGATTTCTGATCGGTGCCTTTCCATTGCTTCGTTCAACCGCCCCTCCGTCTCCATCTTGGCATTTTCAAATTCACTTTCGCGATTCGCTAAAGCGTTTGTCTGTTGTTGAGCGAGTTCCTCAACATTCTTTAAAGACTGATTCTTAATGTCCTCGACGTCGCGTTTATGACTTTCAGTCATTTCGCTTATCCTACTTTCCATTTCCACGTTAAGATTCTCGATTTGCTGTCTAAAACGTTTGTTCTCTTCGGCCAATTCTCTTACCTTCTCCATGGCGGACTCCTTCTCTTCTGAAACACTGTTCGCTTTGGCTTGCAACTCTTCCGTCTTCGCTTGATGTATTTTCTCTCGCTTAGCAATTTCGTTCCTCAAGTTGATATTCTCTTTTGTCATATTCTCTTCCTTTTCCCGCGCTTCGCTCAGAAATTTCTCCATAGTCTCCTCGTTTTCTCTGCGTATACTCACGACTTTGTTCTCCCAGCCCAAGTTCAGTTCAGATATTTCCGCCTGATGTCGCTCCTCGAGCTTCGTTAGTTCTTCTTTCCTCATATTTTCTAAATTCGCTGTTACATCTTTGACACCCATATCATGATGCTGAGCAATTTCGTACAGTTTCTCCCTGGTAGCGTTCTCTTTTTCAAGTAGCTGGTCGTGGAATTCCTTTTCCATTTTATTGACCAATTCCTTCACTTCCTTTTCTTTCAGTTTCATCTTCTCGTCGTGTTGCTTCTTCTGTGTTTTGAGCGCCTCCTGTTCAAGTTTCAAAGTTTCTTTCAGTTTCCCAATCTTTTCATCTCGCAGTGTTATACTTTGACTAAGTTCATCAATATTTCGCTGGGATTGCTCTCTTTGTTCATTCATTTGGCCAGTTAAACTCTGAATCTTGTTATTCAATTCAGCAATTTCGGAATTTTTATCGTTGAGAGATTTCTCACTCGAAGCTGCTTTGCCACTGAAATCTCCGCGAACCTTTTCTAACTCAAGTTTCCATTTCTCTTCAATAAGCAATTTCTCCTCTTGAAGTTTCTGAATACTTTTCTCGTGTTCCTCTTTCAAACTCGAGACCGTTTTCTCGTGACTATTCTTGCTTTCTGAGGCACTCTGAAGACTTTTCTCTTCGGCAAGGAGCAACTGTTCTTTGTACTTTTGAACGTCAGTTTGATATTTCTGTTTGAAATTTTCAAATTGAGTTCTATACTTCTGGTTTAATCCGGCCAATTCTTCCTTGAGTTTATTTTCGTTCTCTGCGGAAGCCTTTAACTTCTCCTCGAACTCTTTGTTCATTTTTTCAAGCTCGTTCTTTTTACTTTCCACCTCTTTAACTGCCACGTTTTCTTTCTCCTTCTCCGAACTTAAAACCTTTAGTTCTTCCTCTCTTTTATTATTAAATGCTGTCTCTAGTTCTCTAATTGTCACCATCGCCTTTTGCTTGACAGCCTCAATCTCATGATCCTTCTCGGTTTTCATTTCGAGAAGTTGCTTTTCCAGTTCCTTGGAGTAATATTCCTTTTCAGTAAGCTTCCCTTTTACGTCGACTAATTCTCTCTCTTTTTCTTTCAAACGATTATCCCGGTCTTTTGTCAACTCCTCCACCTCGTTTGCTTTCTTGCTTTCAGTTTCTTTAACTTTATTCTCCAGATCACTAACAGTACTATCTTTTTGCAGTAGTTCTTTGCGTAAATCTTCGGCGATTTTGTTAGCATCGGCAACTTTCTTCTCAAAGTCATTTACACTCGTACTTTTTTCCGACTCAGTTTCCTGTTGCATGATATTTACTTTCTCCTCAAGTTCCTTCGCTTGGTTTTCTTTTTCAGTGAGCTTTGTCCTAAGTTCCTTTACAATCTTTTTCATCTCGTTGGTTTTACTTTCCATTCGTTTGGAGACGCGAGCAAGTTCTGACTGCTTATCAGCCTCAAATTGTCTCTCTTTCTCCTCCAAGTCTTTCACATGTTTCTCAGCCTCGGCTTTTCGCTGTTTCTCCAGTTCAGCCACTTTTTGTTCGGCTTTCTTAGAATTCTCGGATATTTCACCCATTTTCGTTTGATGCATTTTCTTGAATTTGGCCAACATTTTTTGATGTTCTTCCTGTTTTTCTTGAAGGAGATTATTGTGTTGCTGGATCATCTCCGCGATCTTAGCCTACCAAAAAAAGGAAACGTAAGATTGATGGATCTATTCAATACAAAATGCTTTCGGGGGAAATTGAAAATCGTTCGCAAATGCTTCCGCA